TTTAGGCCGGGCACTCATTCAGGGAAGATGACCACAAAAGTGGGTGAGAAAAAATGTTAGCTTTGCTATTGCTTATTCCCTATTTTTTTAGATTGTCTCAATGCAGAAAATTAACCAGCTGACATCAGCTCACTTCATATTGTATTTATTTGAACTGGAATACTTTTCAAGGAAAAGCTGGGGAATTTTAAAAACTGGAATTGGTATTCTTTGTTTTTACTCGAGTTTAATTCATTTGCAGGTAAAGCCCAACTACAAGTTAATTAATGGCATTATATCGCTGGCAGAGCACATGGGCAATAGACCACTTTCATAAATGGCTGCTGGATTAATATTCTTTTGTTTAAGTTTAAATTAGCCTTTCTGGCCTCGTTCTCCAGTTCAAAATTCAAAAGAATACATTATCTCAAGCGAGGCCAGAAAGACTAATTTAAATTTAAACAAAAGAATATTAATCTGGCAGCCATTTATGAAAGTGGTCTATAGGAAGGGAATCCTGGGTTCTGATTGTCTACCTTAGTGGGCAAGATGGGCCTATGTTGCCAGCCCAGGATTGCCCATTTCAATCCTATGCAAAAGAAATCATGAAATCTTGCTGGTTTATTCAAACACAATTGGCTCTCTTTTTCCAGCTCTTGAAATACATAAGTCAGTCTTAAATCAAATTAAACCAAGTCATTTTTCATTATAAAAAATCATTTATTAACCACGCTTGTTTAGTGAAGATGACTGGATATAAGCCTTGTTCATTTTTGCATTTTTATGGACCTTGAATTTGTCTGGGTCCATAAAAACATGAAAAAAACTTGGCTAATATCCAGCCATCTCAATCTCATGCTTGATTACTAATGCATACTTAAATTACAGCTGCAAGAGCTGAGGCAAAATGCTACTAGTAAGAAACCTTTTTTATTTCTCCCCCATTTTTTTTATTCAATTATTACTTATTGGAGTTACCTGTAAGGGCTTCTGCACATACATTATCTTATAAATTCTACTATATATTGAGCATGGCTTTCATCTCTGGAGTTGACAAAAATGTATTTAATATCCTTGAAACAAATACTATTTTTAATTATTAAATACTAATGGTGCAAACAAACCGATTTCTTGACTATCATATTTTTTCTATCCCTTGTTCTCTTATTTTGAGCAAAGTCTACATGGTATTTTCTTCTATAATGATAATCAGTAGCTAATAATAGTATGGAATATGATTTCAAGTAGAGCAATAACACTTCATCTGACATCTGCCAAGCTGCTTGCAAAATTCAATATCATTCAAGCTGACAATAAAAATAAACAGTTCCTGGATAAGTTCATTTTTAACAAGCAAATCAATAACAAATTTCACAAATTAATGCACTATGTTATCATGACTAACTATCTCCACAAGATCAAATCAAGATAAAGATCACTTGGAATTGTTTTATAACCCTAATAAATTGATTTGTGATCATTTTTTAAATATAAAATTATACATCTAATCTGGGTGATTTTGGATAGTTTCTATTAAACCTAAAATAAATATTCTTAGTAACTTTTGAGGTCAATATGAAAAAGATCTTGCATTGCAATTTGCATCTCACACTTGAATCACAAGTTTGAATAAGAATTTTGAACAAAAATCATAGTGAGAGACCAACACATTTTTGGGAGTAATAATGCCTGTTAAGTGAGCACAAAATTCTTATGATTTCTTCCTCATCCTCACTTCGAAAAGGGAACAAAATGGATCAACATGTGATTTACACCAAAACCACTACTACAGTTATTCCCCTTATGGTCTCTGGCTAAATGCCAAATTTCTGTGCAAATTTCACATGCGTAAACTTATATGCATGCTTAGAACAGTACTGGGAATGACTCTTTAAACTCTCTCAGTAATCCAGCTGAATCATTCATTAAGATCACGAGAATAGAGAAAATGATTGACAACATAAGCTTTGATTGATAAACAAATTCTCCTTTTCAGCACCAAAGGAAATGTACAGAGAAGAGTATGGAGAAAATAGATACATAAGTGTTAGAGTGTAACATGTTAAAGGTTAATACTGACAAGATTCCACATTTTGCAAACATCCCAATTTGTGTGATTTTTTTATCAAAAAAATTGTTTAGAAGCATAGAAAACAACTATTAATTTTTTTTCTAGTAAAAATGTTTTGTGTCAGTTATAACAACAAAAGGGATACAGTTTCTATTTTTACTCTTCCATGAGGAATTTTTTTTTACAAATGTGAAGCACATGGTATGTTTATACCAAGTAAAATTCCAAAGATACCCTCATCAGCAATTCAGCTTAATGCCTTCACTGCCCATTTTAGACTGCATTCTGAGCACCTGGAAAACGTTTGGTTTTAGCTAGACTTGTTTTTCATTCTATGTAATTATCAGGCCTTGTTATAGGACTAAATGAAATAATCACAACATTACTTTTTTCATACCTGAATTTCCTCTACACAACAAAGTTAAACAAAAACAGGACCAAAGTTAGTTCATTTCTATCACTTGTTAGAATTTGCAGCTGATCAGCAGGTCAAGGCTAGTGAATCACATTTCCATTGACTACGTCATCATGAAGAACGCTTCGGGCCATCTCCTTCAAAGCATTTCCAAACTCTTCTGTGATGATCTGTGGATCTGGTAGCACACTGACATCACCTTGCACTCCAATAATGACTCGGCCAGCATAGGTATAGATAGACAGCCCTACACCAATGTTGTCTTTCTGAGGAGGCCAGAATGTTGTGTACTTGATAGTTCGACCAGTTATTGAGAGAGAATTCTGAGGACCAGGTACATTGGATAAAACACAACTTGCCTTCTCAGTGATTACAGTGTTTATTTTCCTGATCACAAATTCTGGGAGTAATTCATTTGACAGCATCATCACACAAGCTGTGGCTAATGGTTCGCCTGAGTATTTGCACTCATCCATGCGTGCTTTGGTCTCCTGCAACTGATCCAAAACACCTTCAGTTCCTACTGCGAGCTTAAGGAAGATCAGAGAAAACATGTTTTCAAAGCTGGGTTCTTTCTTGGTGGCTGAAAGACGGACATCTACTGGAATTGCTGCCTTGAAGTCAGGGGGGTTGGCTACTCCCTTTTTCTGAAAGTACCTTCTGATTGCATGCGAGAGGCAAGACATCAAGACATCATTGACAGTTGTACCTGTGGCAGTCTTGATTTGCTTGATTAATTTGAATTCAAATTCTTCATTCCAGGCAACTTTTTTGACACCACTGATCTTTGGCCCATGTAAAATGGATCGGTCGGGAATGGCAAGAATTAGCCTCAACAGTGAATACCCTGTTCTTAATATTGCTTTGGCCATGAGAGGTACTTGAGAGGTTGATGACGTAAACTTCTTGGTCTCCTTCTCATCTTTTGATTGATCTGGTAGCTGGTTGATGATGAATCTTGTTAAGGACACGCCATCTGCCACACTGTGACTCATCTTGAAGACTAATGTAAAATCCTTGTCGCCAAAATTTGTAGGAACACAGCAGAAATACCAAGGAGAAATTCCTTCTTTAAAGGGTTCGTTGCTCAGCTTAGAAACGACAGCCTCTAACTCTTCTTTGGAGGAGGGTACCTCGCCATCCCACTTAAAGACGTGGTTTTCAATGCGAAAACATCTGTCTTCTTGAAAGAAGTACTGAAAGTAGCCTGGACGAATACGGCACCGGGCCCTTGGATAACGTAAGGTTCCATCCGACTTCTTAGCTTTCATCATGCGGTCTACAACAACTTGTTGGAACTCTCGAACAGCTGTCTCGAAGTCAGTTTTGTTCTCCGCGCAGACAAATCCGGTAATTGCCAAACGATTCACATCACTCTTCTGTTGCCAAAGCGCGTCTAGACCGCTCAAGGGAAGGTCGCCTGATGTCCAATAGACGAGATATCGTTCAACCAGCTTTAGACTGTAGTATACCACAATTAATGGAGTCAAGGGCAGGGCAAACGCGAAGAGAAGCACGTAGGATAACAAACACACCACGACGAACCATAGGAATTTCAGCAAGGACAGGATTCTAGAACTCTTTTGTGTCTGAGCTCCAAACTTGAGCGAGACTTTCTGTGGGATGGAACCGTTTGCCACCATTTTGGTTGAGTTACCATTCGTTTCACAGTGGCCACTTCTTGCAGCAGTTGATGCGTCCATAGCTGACGATAAACTGTTCCAAAGTTACCGTGCGCTGGAGCTCAAATTTTTTAACCAGCTGATGTAGTTCAAAGGTTTTTGATGAAAACATCCTGTGATTGGTCATTTAGAAATCACGTGGGAATACTTTTGTCACGCATAGATCTCAGACATTCACGTGTGCGAAGGATCGATCTTGCTTTGGCTTTAAATTAACGTATCAAATGCCTGTATGGGGCCCATGTCATGTTAAATTCACATTTGACTCGTACCTAATTTTTTTTTAATTATTTTGGTAGACCAAAACGTTTAACCAAGTCCTCCTTCGACATAACAGGAAGTGAACTATGATCAAAATCCACCTTCAGTGACCTTGCTTGACAAAGGACTGGGTATTAGGTTTCTCTTTGTATCAAGATGGCGGACGGACTTTGCTGTCTATCTGTCGGCTAAGAAAATTAAGAATGGCTGGAGTTGAATAGAGATTAGCTCAATGAGCTTACGTGGTATCTGGGTTTTTTCAGCCCTTTTTGAGTCCGACAGTGTCCTGTTTTCTCGGTAGGTGGAATGTTTCACGTGCTAACCTCAGAAATGTTTCACGAGACATTTTCACCTTTAGTTGCCGTCCTAGATACGTATGTAATTAGTTACGCTATTCGTCTTTGGTTAATCTTGCTCTTGCTTTTCAAACTTTGCTAGAAAATATAATCAGTATGAAATACTTTTCTGGTGGGCGTGGGTCAAAGGGTACACAGAGAAAAGTATAAAATAAGGACTTTGAACTGAGCAATTGGTTTGGAGTGTCAACGGACGGTGGACTATGGAGAAATATGAACTAGGGTGTAAAAAACGTGTCTGGTGAGGAGAAAAAATTAGGTTCCATAAGATCTGTAGCAGTTCAGTGAGCAGTGCAAAAGAACATGTAAATACTTACCCAATCTCTGAGAGTAACTAGCAAAATCTCATTTCTCTTTGAAGTATCACATACCCCTAAATCAAACATTACTGACGTGAGTAGAAGGGAATGATCACCAGCTTAAGAAGTATTGATTGTAAAACAAATTCTCCCAGTCAATACCCTTGGAAATTTGTGGAGACCAGTGAGGAGAATATACATACTGATATCAATGTAAGGGTGTAATGTTACACCTTACATTGGGGAGGTAGCCCCTTTACTGTCAGTAAAGGGGCTACTTCCCCATTTAATTGGCACTCTAGGGTGGGGTTCATAGAGGTTGTTAATCTGGAATTGGGTAGAGGCACTTTCTTTTTTGAAATTATTTTCAGCCTCGATGTGGGACTGTTTCCCGACAAGCTAGAAGAGCATGTTTATTAGCGTTTGTATTTTAGATACAATGTATATATGAAGTTCATATATTTTGAACTGCGGTATTAAATAAGTATGATGAACGATCCTTGCAGTAGAGAGTGTTGTTTATGCAATAGCGAAAATCAGACCTGAAAAAAATCAGGCCTGTACAGGATTTGAACCACTGACCTCTGCGATACTAGTGCAGTGCTCTACCAATTGAGCTAACAAGCCAACTGGGAATATTTTTTCATTTTTTCATTTTCATTGTTTTTATTTTCATATTCGTACTCCCAGTTGGCTTGTTAGCTCAATTGGTAGAGCGCTGCACTAGTATCACAGAGGTCAGTGGTTCGAATCCCGTACAGGCCTGATTTTTTTCAGGTCTGATTTTCGCTATTGCATAAATAGCGCTCTGTACTGCGAGGATCGTGCATCATACGCGTTTGTGTTTTGTATAATCTCTAGGTGTTTTCCTACTGTTGAACGACGAGCAGCTCTACATCAGGAAGCAAGTAGTTTAACGCCGATCCCTGGTGATAAAGAATTATGCGAAGCTGTACTTAAAGAGCTGGGATTTAGGAAAAAGCAAGGAACTTCCCTGGATGAGGTATTTTCCACTTACATGTAGTTCTTGTGATGATTACACCACACCTCATTAGATTGCTTAATATGTAGTGCAACAACTTCATTGTATTTTGCATGCAGGTAAATTTGTATTGCAGGTGGAATGTGGAGTGTCAAACTTAGACAGTACATACTAGGCAACAATTGGTAACTGTCAACTTACCTTGGGCAGGAAATTTTTTGACGTTGACCATTTGTAGTGTTTGCAACCGAAAGGAAATGACACAAAGTCAGCAATCACAACACAACCGCTTCGCTTTAATCACAACACCTCTTGCTCGGTTCCCCGGATGTAGGCTAGTTCCCAGTACACTACACCATGTGAAAGCCTTGATAAAGTAAAGTACTATTTTTGGCTTACTATAATTATAGTACTGTGCAAAAACTAATGGTGGGATTTCACTAAAACCCTATATGGTGGATACTGTAAATTATGCAAGCAGTCCTTTTTTTTTTTTTTTGAAAAACTTGCATTGCAATATGAAAAAATATTCACAAACAAATCTTTCAAATATAGTGGGGTATTTGAATTTTGAAGGCCACTTAGCTAGCCCAGATGTTTAACAATGCACCACTTTGGTATAACCACTGAATGTATAGCATTATAATTACAACACTATCACACTGCTCTCTGATTTAGTTATTTTTAGGGAAGTAGGGAAGGTGTGACCTATTTTGAGAGGGGCTCAAAACCTTTTCTGATAACGGTCATCATAATTTCATATTTCCTCAGTTTGACAAAGATGTTGATTCATGCAACAAGCTTGAACAAAAACCTGTTCATGAAGTCAGACTGAAGAGTGGTTTCTTATGGCCAGTTGTTATAATTGAAAAGGTAAGCAGCTTTAGCAACATCATCAACCTTGGTTTTTGCAAAAACTATTTGGCAAATCATTAAGCACAGTAAAGTATAGTTTGATGAGAATTTGTGCTCTCTGAAGGACCATGTCCACATTTTTTGCTTGGTATTGTTGTGTGCTCCTTTTTCTTTTAGTTTGGTTTGGTATTCATGTGTGTACCTTTGGTAGAAGCTGATCTCTCACATGGAAATCCTACCCTCATTAAAATGTAAGTCAATACTGTACATGTGAACAAAACTTGCATTAGCTTTAAGTTAAACCATTAGAATAAATGACAATTAATTACAGTTCCTAGACTGTTGGACATAGTATTATAATTGAAACTGAGGTTTTTGCATGATCATAATTGCACAGTATTGATTGGCTGAAACTAAGATGCCATGGTACTGTTGAATTCTCCATTCTTCCTTTAACTTTTGCCACTAGTTTTCCTCTCATACTTCTATCAGGCCAGTGACATTTATTTGAGGCACAATTTACATACATTTGCTCTAAGGTAATTTGTCACAGATAACCTCTTTTGAGTGTTCTCAGGTGCAACTTAATCAGTAAACAAATAGTTCCCTTCTTCTGTAACAACAGCAAACTTACCAAACAATGTTCTCTTATCTTGAATTACATTTTAAACAAAGACTTATGGTAGTGGACGCAAAGTTTCTAAATTGGGGAGTATCTCTTGGTTGATATCTTCACAAATCCCCCAGTTTTAGCTGAGGGATATTCTCTCACTTAAAGTGTTTATACCAATAGCACAGGAGCAAAAATATATGATAGATCATAACTCCTGATATCAAAGTCTGTCATGACCAACATTATTGTGATATTATTTTGATTTTGGTCTGTTGTGTAACCATCATAATGATTATTATTATATTATGTCGCAGAGAAATCAACTGAATGCTACATTCTAATCAGGCAGCACAGGGCGAAAACCGTAACCTGTGAGCCATGGAGTAAAAAAATAAACTAATCCTAAAAAGCTTTTCCGTTGTGTCTACAGTCCTCCTTCTAACAGAAAGTCAAACTGCCACATTATTATTATTATTTATTATTATTATTATTACTACTATTATTATTATTATTATTATTATTATTATTATTATTATTATTATTTCTTTTTTATTTTCATTATCAGGCCTGGTGTGTCCCAAGGATACTCCTTACTTCACTCCATGGTTGACTTTGTGGGAGCTTGGACCACTAAGGAGGAGGTTGGGACTCTGCTTTTATTTTAAACTGTACAGTGTATTCTACAAGTACTGGTTATACCATTTAAATCCAGGAATCTGATAGGGTGAATTCCTTGCACATTAGTGACAACAGTTTTGTTGTACATCAGGGTAACTCTGTCCGAGTGATGAGCTTGCCTTTTATCTTGTTTTTGCTGGTTTACATGTTAGAAGTCTATCAATTACTTAGATCAGAGTTAAGAGTTAAGTTTGGTTTCTAAGGAGGCAGCATGGTGGAGTGGTGAGAACATTGGTCTGACTCAAGGTCTGACTCCTACTCAGACTGCAGCTGGTTTTGTTTCTCTCTAGTCCTTAGTTCAACTCCCCTACCAAACTTTTTAACATCCAACTGGTTTACCATGAAGGGTTTTGAAACATGTTAAGGCGGACATAAATTACTTGTTTGAGGTTATTTGGGTAGAGTGCCTTTAAACTAATTGAAGTGGGAAAGTTCGTTTCCATCATAAAAGTTAATGCTTACAAATTTTTTAACATTTAGTCACTGTGGAGTGTTCTCATGACTACTGGCCTCTACATGTAGTTAACTGTTGCGGCCTTCAAATAATTTTTAGATTTAATATAGATCGATTTAATATAATATAATATAATATAATATAATATGATATAGATCGATCTATATTATTATTATCAACCTGCCTAAAGCAGGTGAGTAGGCAATGGCAGATAGATTTCCACCACTTGTGTGTTTTAGCACACTAAAAATTGACTATAATGCACTGCCATTGATTCTGAGAGGGCTAATAAAGATGGATTTCATACTTAATTTAGTTACAGTCTAAAATGAATGAGCTGTACAAGTTCCTCTGTGTGGCTGCTCCCTTTGGCACTCCAGTGGATACCAATTTGGCCACAATACAGTCACTTGTCAACTTAAAAGATGTGACTGTGCCCCTAAAAAGCAAGGTTTGTGGTTGTAATTATTTTTATTTAAGATAAACTTTCGTGAATTGTCTATTTAAATTCTTAATTGTTACACAATTTTCATTGAATACAAACAGTTCATGAAAGGTGCCTATAACGCATTGTGTGGACTAAAAAGTTGTGACTTGTTTTTTCCGTTATTGTTCTGAACATTATGATGCCTGGTGACTTTCTTTTTTGTTGTAAATGTTAGCAACCTGCTTGGAAGCCTGTTCAGTACAAAGGAAAACAACAACTTGTCTTTACTGTAAAAGAAGAGATCAGAGCTGTTCAGGTGTGTAACAATTTGACAATGAATAATATGACTTCATCAAGAATTTAATATTTAACGCTATTGGGCGGAACATCAGTTTGTCTTCCTCCTTCTGATCCTCATTTTTTTTTTCCTATGTTACTGACCAGGATAGTTTTCCTAACAATTAAGAGTGCAAGATGATGATTATTTCCTTAATTCTCATGACTTGAGTGTTTGATTCAGTAGTGGTACAGTATGGAGAAACTGGATGCTAAAAAATAATTAATCACTCTTCATTTTCAAGACTTGGTCCTAAAGTATGGAATAATCTTCCATGTAGCTTGCGCTCCTTGCCTAAAAGGTCTTTTAATAGCAAAAAAAGTCCATACACTTTTGTTAAAATTACTCAACAATGAACATGATAATTATGACTCTAATAAAGTAATTGTTGCTAAAATGACTACTGGACTTTTGGAACTAAAATAGCACCTTCTATATTTTATTTACATTAATAACCTGTAGACTGTAAACTATTCATACTTTAATTTTAATTTGGATATATCAACAAAGTTGAAATGGTAAATTGGCCACGGTAACGATTACAAAAGCTGACCTTTTGAGCGTTAGCCCTTCGTCAGAGCAAATAGAGGAATTGTGGTTTAATTTACTCTATTTGCTTCGTTGTTATTTGTACTCATATAGTTGTTTGAATCAATTTCACTTTTCTAAATTAACAATATTGTTAGTAATGTCCTTGTAATTTTTATTTCCAACCTCCTTGATATAATTTATTTTAATATTGTCTGCAACCACCCAACTCAATTAGCTTTGCTACATTCAGGTGGGTATTTTTTTCAGTTTTTTGTAATTATTTAATATTAATTTTCTTCTTAAATAAATAAATGAATATAATCACTCTCAGGAATTACCATAAAGGGTTGAAAGAATGTTTTTTTATGTTCCCATATATATCTAATCCAGTTTTTAGTCAGAGAGGGTCGATTTCAATATTTGCTGAAAAGTTCTCCGTGGTCACAAATATCCAAATTTTGATATTTGATAGAGCCTATAATTATATGGAAAGGGTTACAAATGATGAGTGTATATAATAATTATTTAGAGAAGCACACTGCAGATGGGATAGATGTATAATTTATACTAGATATTAAAGTTTGATGGCAGTCTTAGATGGTTTGAATGAGATTGCATGCAATTATTTTGGGGATATTTTCAGTCGGAAAGAGAGCCAGAAAGGATAGTTGCCAAGCAAGGAAGTCAATAATGCCCCAGGGAACCATATTTGGTCTTTTCAGATTTTATTTAGCCTTGTAGCAGTATCCTCTGCCAGAATTAAATTCTCCAACTCGGGGAAGTAATGGTGAATAGACGCTGCCGATCAACTTGATAGTTGCAAAATACTTTAAATTTGTTGCTATTTTTGTCTCCTGTCAGCATGTGAAAAAACAGGTCCAAGTTGAGCAGCAACTGTTTGGGATCATTTTGTGCAGGGTATGTAAAAAGGTTGTGGTTATTCATTTTGGATAATTTATGGAAGAGACTACAGCATTAGCTAAACAGTCTTAGCTCATAACTTTTTATGTAAGTTGTGATCATTGTGAAATGTTACATTGGTCGAAGTTGACTGATAGAAGGCTATATTTTTCTTAGGTAGAATGCTATAAACTTTTATTACACGACTCGGGAAGTCAGAGGGCCAATAACTAAAATCAACCAATCAAAATGCTCTATTGGGC